TACACAATTTGCTAGTCTGGATGTCAAAAAGAATAATATGTTTGAATTATATATCTTATATTATATTAGATTGTCAGGTTGATATTTGTTTATACAGTTGGGCTCAACCAGAGACCTTAACCTTGCTTTTCTGTCCCAGAGGGGTCATCAGACTTCGAATCCTCTAAGGCTCCAAGGCCCTCTAAAGGTGCTCCCCCATTGTGCTAGAGGACTTCTATTAGAATTGATAACCCTTTCAGGCGAGACCAAATACTCTGGGCACATGGTGAGTAAAAAGGTTCATTCCATCACAAAGTTATTATCCACAGGCAGATTGTTACCATTCATCAAGTGTGAGAGATGAAACTCTCTGTTAGTCAAGGGAAACGGCTGTTTCACTGCCTTGCCACAGATCAATATATGCCGCCATTTTCCTTTCTCTCCTCTGCTACAAAAAAGTAATTATACAGAAGAAATGTTGACAATCAATAGACTAGTCAGGTAAGGTTAAGGTCTGCTGTGGGGGCCAGCGGAGGCTCCTCCGTCAGCTGTCACTGATGCTGCTGAAGTGAACACCAACACACGGGAACAAAGGGAGGTTTGTCTCCTTCAGCCCCTTTTACGTTTCTGTTAGGGCGGTATTGTCGAAACAATTAGAGAATGGTAGAGAATGACACAAGAGAAGTTCACTGAAGCTCACATGGTGAATATTTATGAGTCAGTAGTACATAGGTGTGTCTGAGTATATCACCTGCACAAGGTGTACTGTAAACGGTGCAAACATCAGTAATTTGGCATGTTTTTGATGTGTTATGTGTGTGAAACAAACTTACTTGAGAGAACTGCAGAATGAGAGACTTTATAGTATCGTCACAGTAAGGTAGTCCTATGTTGCAAACGTTATTCTTCAATGTATTCATCAGCATCGCCTTGACATCTACTTTCACTTTAGACGAGCCTGAACTTTATAATCCACTGGCAGGGTTCAGAGGTCAACAGCAGAGGGGACCAGAGGGCAGGGAAAATCACTCTCTCCCTGGAAAAAACTCTGACATCCAATTTTCAACTTGATTTATCAGTGTAAAGCTAAAATTGATAGTGTGTCATTACTGGGCAGGGAGCTGTCTTGGAGAGATGTATCAAAGCCTCCTCATTTTGATTTAGCACGGCGGATCAATACAACCCTATACTGTTTCAATTTGAGGAGTATTGATTTTCCTATGCTGACTCTATACAGGGGGACATTCATCATCAAGCAAGCATATAGTATGATCTAACAGGGCACCATAGGGTCTGATCTGCTTATTCTTCACTCAGATCACATGGCTGCAGAGCAGCTGTTTCAAAGCCTTTCACAGATTATTTCCTTGTCGTCGGGTTTTTGTCATATGTGCTGCAATACAATTTCTTAAATTGTTTACCACAAAAAGAACAACGGCTCAAAATGGAGTGGCTGTCAGAGATGCAGATAATCTGCAGATGTCTGTAATTCAGACAAAAACAGATGCATCTAATGGCAGGCCAGGTGGTTATATCAATCTAATGAGCAGAAAACACACAGTCTGGCAAAAGAAAAAACATGAACATATAAGTTATACTAGTTTCTGGCTTCTGTCCGCTTAAGAATAATTTTGTTTATAATATATTCTACACAAATGATAAATGTCCTTTGGCATGTCTCCAGGCAGAATTTGGGAGTAAAAGGCAAAGCAATTTCTGTGCATGAGGGTGAAAACAAACATTAACAACTAAAGTCTCTCTCTCTCTCTCTTTTTCTCTCTCTCTCACACACCACACACACACAGATATAACAGACAGCCACCTCAAAATGCTTGAGGGCTTTATATTTTACAAGAGCAGCATAAATGGGAAAGTTAATGTAGCATTGAATAAGACTAAGCTGCTGAACTGCAACACTGCCTTGAGCTTGTGAGCATATTGCATCATTTTTCTTCACCAGCAGGTTACCATTAAATTTGAATTTGTTGGAAGTTTTGCAGTATCATTTACAATGCACCCACGCTCAATAACCTTTTGTTTCAATGCAAATGCTGTGCCTCTGAGAGGGGCTCCATAAATATTTGAACAAGCGCCCAGAATTCAATCCAATAGATTTTGTCATGGGTACTTCTGCTAAGATTCAGTCAGTTATATGAAAATCTGTACTTGAATACTGTAACCTTTTCAGTCACGGCCAAAATATTTTTTTCATTTGACAACATCTGTAATACTAAAATACAATTTTTGTACCCATGAA